CTGATTTTATATCATTCAGTGTCCCCTGTTATGTTTGAACAACTGCTTCTTGGTCTACGTACAGGTTCCTCGTGAGCATAATCAAATGTTCTGGAATACTCAGTTTTTGCAGTGTTATCCATAGCTTGTCATGATTCACACAGTCCAAAGCCTTTGCACAGATAAACACCATTCTGGTATTCTCTGCTTTCAGCCAAGATTCATAGGACATCAGCAATAATATCCATCATTCCATGCCCTTCTCTGAATTTGGCTTAACCTCTGAAGTTCCCTGTCAATGTATTGTTGCAGACATTTAAAAATTATTTTAGCAAAATTTTACATTTATGTGATGTACATGATATTGTCCAATGAGTTCCACATTCCACTGGGTCACCTCTCTTTGGAATCCAATATTTATTAAATCTAATAAATAATATCAAGATAAGTGGAGAAAAGATAGAAGTTATCAAAGACTTCATTTTGCTCGGATCAACCATCAACACTCATGGAAACAACAGTCATGAAGTCAAACAAGGTCAAATCTCCTGCCCAAGACCTTTTTAAAGTGTTCAAGAGCAAAGATGTAAGTTTGAAGACTAAGGTGTACCTGACCCAAATGATGGTATTTTCAATAGCTTCATATAAATGTGAAAGCTGAACAATGAATGAGGAAGGCCATATAAGAATTGATGCATATTAGTTATGGTATTGGAGAAGAATATTAAATGTACATGGACTTTCAGAAGAACAAACAAATCTGTGTTGGAAGGAGTACAGCCAAAATGTTCTCTATAAGCCAAGAGACCAGACTTCATCTCTCATACTTCTGACATATTATCAGGAGGGACCAGAGATCCTGGAGAAGGACATCATGCTTGGTAAAGTGGAGGGTTGAAGAAAAAGAGGAAGACCCCCAATGAGATGGATTGGCACAGTGGCAGCAGCAATGGCTCAAGCATAGCAATGATTGTGAGATTGGTGCAGGACAGGGAAGTGTTTCAATCTGTTGTACAAAAGGTGGTTATGGTTAGTACTGACTCTACAGCACCTAACAACAACAACAATAAATCCATTATCCCAAGAGCAGTGCCTGGCACGTATGTAAGCGGTTAAATAAATATTAGTTGAATTAATTAATGAGTAGGCAAGTAAAGAATAGCACTGTCAGATCCATTTTGGGCCCTTTCAATAATACTATTCAAAATTTGCAAATTTATTTTTACAGCTCTGAGTACAAGTAAGATACCACCTATGGCATCTGTGCTGTGCCCCATCAACTTTAGATAAGGAAATGCTGTACAAAGGTAACTGAAAAAGTATTGCTACTAAGGTTCCATTTTATACATGCATTGGTTTATTCCAAACAAAGTGCTTTTAAACATGTCTCTGTGATCAGTGCATGGTTACAGACAAGTTCTCTTAGTAATGATATACTTGTCTTAGACTCATTAGGGTTCCCTCAAAAAAGGGTCCAATCAAAGTTGTGATTTTCAACGGAATGTGCTGGCCCAGTTCAATTCAAAGAGGTCAGCCAGCTCAGAAGGCTATGTCAACAGTTTTTTGGGATTCCTAAGGGTCAATAATCTTGACAGATTTTTTTCAAAGGACACAGGATAATCATGGAGACTCATTATTAGAAAGTTTTAAGAAAATTGAAAACTGCATTGGTGAGAAAAAGGCCAGGAACGTGTGCTGAGAATTCACCTGCTCATTCTTCAAGGGTAGTGTGTGCTGTGCTAAGAGAATTTCACTGGGCAACCTTATTCCATCCACTCTACAGTCCTAATTTTACCCCTTCAGACTTTTTGTTCTCCAAATTCAAAGAACATTAAAAATGAACATTATTTGAGTCCCTTGAGGATGCCAAAACTGTTGTTTTGATGTGGTGTGAACTGAAGACCACAGAATTCTTTAGGGAATGGTTAGACAGACGGAAACACTGCTTTCAAAAGTGTATAAACCTAGATGGAAGATAATGTCAAGAAACAATAGCTTCACATTTTAATAGTTTGATAAATGTTTCTATGATTTTGTAGCAATACTTTTTTGATTTACCCTCATAGCTTCAATTACTTAACTAAGTGAAGGCTTTTTTCTTTCAGATTGTTCCAATTTGTATATTCATCAGTGCGGCCTGTAACTTATTTTCACTATTCTCTGTGAATTCCATTAGTTTCTGTTTTCAGATGTGAATTCCTTTCAAATAATTTATAAAGGCCTTAATCTGACCTTGTCTCTTCCGGGACTTAAGAACTATTCTACAACAAAATGTAACTTTTTAATTAACTATATTTTAAATGTCACAAATTCTTAGAATATCAACCCTGCTTACTTGAGAATATGGAATAAGGGTTTCAAACTGTTCATGAAGTTCTAACAGTTGAATTAGTTCTGCGTTTTTTTTAGCTTGTTCTCTAATCAAATCAATGTATTTTTCAGGATTTTCTGAAAATGAGTATGCAGCATCTCTGGTATTGAAAGTGTAATACTTTTCCTTGTATTTCAAAATTCCAATTGCTGGATTTCCTGAAAATTAAGAAAAAGAACTGAATCAGGAAAGAAACATTGATTCTGCGTTTGCAATACACTCAGCACCATTCCTATACACTTCATTTTTAATACAGTTCATGTTCTTATTTTGCTAAAATGCTATAATTATTTTAAATATATACTTTATGAATTACATTTTATATGAAATTTATTCTTAATTGGTTATACATTTATTTCTATTTTTAAATGTTATTTTCAAATGTGTTTTAAGAGAATTTTTTCAAATCTTTTTAGACTACTATTGTTGTTATGTGCTGTTGAGTCAGTTCCAACTCAACAATCTGTGTAGAGTTTGCAAGGAGCAGCTGGTGAGTTTGAACCAGCGACCTTGTGGTTCAAACAGACTTTATGGTCCAGTGTTTATCCTACACTGCCACACCAGGACTCCTATAAGATTGTTTTAACATAATTGTAAGAAAAATTAAAAAATAGAACTTTTTTCCCCAAATGCAAACTGACATGCTAAAAAATATTTCCCACTGTAAATACATACTACATAAACCACAAATTATTAAATCTGCTCCATATAGTTTATGAGAATTATATAGAAAGCAGCAATACTGTCTTGTTCATTTATTCTTACATTTAGTCAACAAACAGATTTTGACCCACTATTTGTTTTGCACTGTCAGCTGTTCAGTTCACCAACTGCTCCTCAGAAACCCTATACAGGGTCATTATGAGTGACAACTGACTCAACAGCCCTTAACAATAACAATAACGTGTCAGGCACTATTCTAGTCATATATAGTATGTATATATCCATACAGAAGGAAATAAACCTTACACTTCAGTGAAAACAACAAAAACATTATACATCAGAAAGCAATCAGTGCTATGGGGGGGAAAAGCAGGTTAAACCCACAGTAAAACCTAGGAGGGTGAGATTACTATTTTAAATAGGGTGGTTAGGATGGGGTGAATCAATGAAAGAAAATGGTATGTAGCTATTTGTGAGGTTGTTTTTTAAATACAGGAAATAACAAATGCAAAGGCTCTGAGATGAGAGTAGGCATTGGATGATCAAAACCAGCAAGAAGGCCAGTGTGGATAGAGTGGAGAGAATACAGGAAAGTGTGGGAGGCAAGGAGGTCAGTGTAATTATCTGAACAGGACCCTAACTGGCAAGCCACAGTGCCACCTTGAGATTTGAGCCATGTGGTTTGCAGTCCCAAATGGAAAGAGAGAAATCCTACAGAATTCCTCTAAGATAATGCAGATTGCTGCTGGCCAGAAAACAATGGCCCCATTGGCAGGTGGTCATGACTAGCTTATTATGTCGGAAACCTCCAGGCCCACAAGTCCTTTCATTTTTCTATTTGTCCCTCTTTCTTAGAGTATTAGTTTATGGAAGATAGAAGAGACCTAACAGACTCCCTGGCTGATCCTTCCCATTTTCCTGATGAGGAAACTGAGGTCCAGGGAAAGCATGAAACATCCTGATGGTACTCAGTTCACTAATGGTATGACTGGGACTAGAAACTAGCCCTTGCTGAATCCTAGCCTGTTGTTTTTTCCACATGATGCTATCTGTGTTGCTCACCCCAACCCATGTTTCTGCATGTTTCTCTCACATGATTCCCTTACCTTTTTCATTGTGTGTACAAATAAGACAAAGAGAGAAAGAAACCATCTAGACTCAATTGCTTTTTCTTTCACATGGTTGCTTTCTCCCTATTTTGATGACACTAACTTGGCCTCAGAATACCATTATCTCAGTATCCCAGTGCATACCTTTGCTACTCTGTTATATATAAAAAACTAAAGCCACAAAAAGTTAGTCATATGATCTGTATAGACAACCCCAATAATTTTTATATTAAAAAAGTAATACCCAATTGAAACATGACAAAAGAAAAAGAAACAAAGGAATAAGGGAAGAAGCTTAATGGTGCAATAAACAATTTTGTTCATGATTCCATTTTAAACCTAGCAGGCTTCTTGCTAATTCTAATTCACACTGCACTTCTGGGAGAATTTTTCTTCTCCCTTTAACTTGATAAAACATATGCCATTTCTTTAGAGGGATCTGATTTATAGAGAAATTCTAATCCATGTGAATAGGATAGATAAAGTAACAAAGAATATTTTTATAAACACATGAGCCAAGTTAGAGTCCTGTGAAATGATTACTTGGTAAGATTACATATTTAGTAAGATTCCCTAACATTTCTTGAAACCTGCATTGGACTTATGAATCATCCCTCTTCCATCACTCCAGCACCTGTCTCTTAGATTGTGATGTCTTGTTACGTCAGTCTCCCAAATTACTCTGTGAGCACCTCAAAGACAAAGACTTTGTCAAGATCTTTGTAGCTATTCTTCTAGTTTACCATCTGAATTCATACAGCTTTAAGAAGCAAATAAATGAGGAACAATGACAGCACTTCATATAGAAATATTGGAGGAGGAATGCAATATCATTTCCAAATACAAACCTGGAAGGAGAAGACCATCTGCTGTAGCAAATGTGTAGCCACAAAATCCCCGATATTGAATTATTAATTTATCGAAATTTGCTGTTGTTTCTGGGAAAAGCCATTCTAGTTTTCTGAAATCTGTCAAATAAACTCTATCTTCTATAAAAGAAATAAGACAAGAAAAACTTTTTTCAATAAGAGGGTTAAATTTCCATATAAAGCAGTAGTAGCTCATTATAAACATTAACTTTTTATTGCTTTGTACTTTTTCTACTTAAGAAAAAAAATCTGACATTCATAAAACCATATTTATGGGAGACAAACACAAGCAAAGAAGTATTAGTGACTTCAGTGATTGTCCAAGATCACAAAACTTTCTGGAGCAATCAAGGCCAAAGTTTGCTTTGTAATGAGCAGAAAGGTAAGGGTTTTTAGGGGAGGCAAGCTGTGCTGCTGAGAGAAAAACTGACTAAGGCTCTTCAGGAAGGGTATGAGACACTTCCTGCTGCTACAGAGTAAATGAGGTGAGTGGCAGAGATAAGACGGGCTGCTATTTGAACAAGACAGAAATAGATCAACATTATTCAAGACAGTGTAGCTTTAATATGATGCTACTTGCAGTCACGTTGGTTCCCACACATAGTAACTCTGTATAGTGTTTCTGAGGCTGTAAATCCTTACTGGAGCAGAGACCCTCATCCTTTTCCCATTGAGTGGCTGATGAATTCAAATTGTAGACCTTGTGTTCAGCAGCCCAATGTATAACCCACTAAGCAACCAGGTGGAAAGTATTTTGGAATGGTGCTTATATATAGCTTTTTGAAAGCATTGAGAATGAGTTAAAGACTTGGTTTTTTTAAGTTAATTTTGGTAACAAGGTACACAGTTTTTGTATACCTTGTATTTAGATTTTTAAAAATTCTTCCAATGATGGTTATTGTTAAATGCCCTCAAGTTGGTTTCAACTCATAGTGACCCTATGTAGGGTCTCTGAGGAGCAGATGGTGAGTATGAACCACCACCTTCCAGTTCAAATTGATGTGTGGTGTAGTGCTTATCCTACAGCACCACTCCAGGACTTCAAGTGTTAGTAAGTTTAGCTATTTACAATTGATAAACAAATTGACTAAATTTTTTCCACAGTGAAAATACGTATTTATAAAACATTGCTACTCCAAGGTTCTTAACTTTCACAATCCCATCTCAATTTCTGTGCCTGACTCTATATGCAAGTAGAAGACTCCACAACTGACCCTGTGGTGACAACTAGAAGTAAATTAATAATTTGGAGAACATACATTTATACTTTTTTATGCCCCAAAGCCTCAAACATCAATGAGCTGTGACTGGTGTAAATTAAATGATTTAAAAGAGCATTTGGTCTATGAATTCACTGGAACAGTAATAATAAAAAGTATTCAAGTGAATAGAAAGTTCTGATGTATGGCGGGAAAATGACACTTCTAAATCTAAAAAGTCACAAATGGGCTGTCTTGTCAAAACCCAATTTTTAATAGCCAATATTATAGTTACATTGACTTTTCAGTTTCATTTATATTGAAAAGGCAATTTTAAAAACCATATAATACATGTATTTCTATAAACAAATTTATACAAATTTCTTTTTATAAATGTATAAATCGTAAGAATAAATACAAATTCCATTTATATCTGTGCTGGAATGCTGTTAGGAAATGCCATTAGAAAAACTGAGAGTAAAAAGAAGCTTTTGAATCTGTTTTATTTTTAGCTTTTATGTATTCTAATAATTGAAGAAAATAAATCACTGCTACACTTTTATTTTCCATTTTTGCAAAAAAAAAAAAAAATTTGTAAAAAAACCGAGAAATTATCTTTAATTTTGCTTTCTGAAAACACTTTATTTTTAGGAAATAACCCAAGTCCCAACCTGTACTTTGGTATTTCTCAGGAGTTTTAAGTTGTATTTCTAAGACAGAATCAACCAAAACAAGGAAAGTTATTGATAAAAGCAACCTTTCCATAAGAATCGATGTTGCTCTTAAAGGGCCTAAAATTAGCTCAATTACTTTTAAATGGCAAAGACTTATTGATTTATATATTTGTAAATCCTCAGTCTGGATCTGAGATAGTTACATGCCATAAAGCCCTTCAAAAAAATGGAGATTTTTTTTTTTTTTTGCAACAAATGAGTGAATTCTGACTCACAGCAATCCTATAGGACACAGCAGAACTGCCCATACAGTATGGTGGTGGTGGTGGCCGTGTGCCGTGGAGTCGGTTCCGACTCATAGCGACCCAGTACAGGGTTTCCAAGGCTGCAAATCTTTACTGGACCAGAAATCCTCATTTTTCTCCTGCGGAACAGCTGGTAGTTTCCAACTGCTGACCTTGAGGTTCGCAGCCTGATTCCGTAACCACTACACTACCATAGGGTTTGTTGTTGTTATTGAGTGCCGTCGAGTCGGTGCCAACCTATAGCGAACCTGTACAGGGTTTCCGAGGCTGTAAATCTTTACAGGCGCAGAAAGCCTCATCTTTCTCTTGCACAGCAGCTGGTAGTTTTAAACTGATGATCTTAAGGTTCACAGCCCGATTCGTAACTACTCCGCTACGTTTACAAGGCTGTAAATCTTTATAGAAGTAGTCTGCCACATCTTTCTCTACATAAAGTGTCTGGTGAGTGGAACTGCTGGCCTATCAGTCAGCAGGATTCTACACAAAGTGTCTGGCCTATCAGTCAGCAGGTGGGTGCTTTAACCACTGAGCTCTGGGACTCCACAACATATATGACAAAGGATTCATATATTTTTCTACTACAAATCAATATCAGACTCAGTAGGGATGTGTAGAAATTATCTAAGCACAGAAAATTATTGTTAACAAACCTGTTAACAATAGATAACATTAGCAATAGGTATTGCTAGCCGATTCAATTTACACATTTGCTATTTTCTACATTTGCTATAATGAACATTATGATATTAAATATTTTATTAGAAAAATATAAATTTTAAAACAGAAGAGTGAATTTATCTCACAGATAATTTTTAAAAGATGAAGAAATAACAGATAATTTCTATTACCCATGTGTTCTTTTATTCTACACACATCTGTTTTCACAGTCACTCCATCAAGAAGCTCTTGTATTACTTTCTCAGGAAAGAGTAGTTCGTGAGCTCCCAGAAAAGGCTCAAGGTGAGTAATTAAATTACTGAGGACACTAAGCAAAACTGTTTCATCCTGAAAGCCAGTCCACAGGTTGGAAAGTGCAATGAAAATGGGCTGAGGAGAGAAAAAATGGTTCAACAGTTTAGTAAAATTATAAATCATTGTACTCTTGGCAATAAATACAAAATTTTTTGTTGTCGTTGTCAGGTGCCATCGAGTCGGAACTGACTCATAATGACCCCTTGCACAGCAGAACGAAACAATGTCTGACACTGGGCCAACCTCACTACCGCTGCCACACTTGACGCCATCAATGATGCCACCTGGCCAATCCATCTCGTTGGGGGTCTTCCTCTTTTTCTCTGCCCTTCTATCTTACCCAGCATGATATCCTTCTCCAGTGACTGTTCCCTGCTGACAACATGTCCAAAGTATGAGAGGCGAAGCTTAGCCATCCTGGCCTCCAAGGAGCACTCCAGCTGCACTTCTTCCAAAAACAGATCTATTGGTTCTTTT